AATAATAACAACAACAATAATAACTATAATATCCATTTGATAATAAAAATCAATTTGATAATAGTAAAAATAACAACATTAATTTGATATAACAGTAAACTAAAAACATTAAAACTCTGATGCTTTTTTTTAAATCTAAGCAAAAATTTCCCTGTCCGTTTTGGTGTGTTTTATGAAAAATCTCTCCGAGAACCTACTTGAGGTAAGATGGTGATTTTGCTGCGGAGGTCGTGCAGTCCGATGTCACTGATGGTGTTGCTGTCGATGATGATGCTGCCGCTGGCTGCTTCAATCAGGCGGAAGAGCGCCACTGTCATGGAGGATTTGCCTGCTCCTGTACGGCCCACAATTCCAATCTGGCAGAAAAAGTCAACAATCAAAATAGTAATAGTAATAGTAATAGTAATAGTAATAGTAATAGTAATAATAATAGTAATAGTAATAGTAATAGTAATAATAATAATAAAAATAATAGTAAGGCTGCTCTCCTTGGCCCACATAGACCATTTAATGCGTTGTTTTTTCAATGTATTTCATACGGGGTGTTGTCCCAACTTGTTCTCTTTTATTTTTTCTCACTTTATCCCTCCTTCTTGTGAATGTTTTCCTGAGGTATTCCATCTCGCACACATTTCTACAGACTTGATTGTTTGTCAGCGTGTTCCTGCAGTTCAGTGTTATTGTTATGTGCACAGTAGACTTTGATCGTCTGCCAACAGTATTTCATTTAGAATTTAAGTTCTTCGGATGTGGGCTTGCTTCTTTCGTCATACGGCCATCTTGTGTGAAGATGCTTTCCAAATATTCAAATTCCTCTACTTGTTGGCGTTGTTCCATCAATAAGAATGTTGAGTTTCCCTGGGTTTCTGCTGACCTTGACAACTTCTGTTTTTGAGATGGAGATTTTCCTGTTCAGGTGTTTACACTCCTCATTTAGTTTTGTGCTGTGTGTTTGTAATTCCTCATTTAGTTTTGTGGGGTGTTTTTGTAATTCCTCATTTAGTTTTGTGCTGTGTTTTTGTAATTCCTCATTTAGTTTTGTGTGCTGTGTGTTTGTAATTCCTCATTTAGTTTTGTGGGGTGTTTTTGTAATTCCTCATTTAGTTTTGTGCTGTGTTTTTGTAATTCCTCATTTAGTTTTGTGTGCTGTGTGTTTGTAATTCCTCATTTAGT